AGAGCCTGAAAAAAAGAAATATGTTTCTCGAACTCTTCAGGTAGTGGTTTTACTCATGATGCTGTAACATGAACAAGTGATAAGGAAATTATAGGTGACAACATAAGTCTTGTGTTAACAACCACACGCAGGATGCCCTAGTGTAAGGAAGTACTACAAATACTAGTATATGATTGTATGTTCAGGATAACCCGAACAACAAAAGCATGCAACTGAGTGTGATTTAGGACAACCATTGTCTGAAGAACATTTGATTCCAAAGGCTGATTACCCTGTAGCCATGACAAGTATATGTCTTCATAACTTAATTGCCATTATTTATAAGACGCCAATCCCAGTTGTTAATCCTCACCAACGTTTCATTGTATATTGACTGTCAGCCATCTTGGGCTACCATATCACTTCCCGTTAATTACTGTTATTTATTGTATAACATTTATTGCCTTAATTGATCATCCCCTGAGCTGTGTCCGTTCATCACGCCCATATGTCCAGAGCAACGTCATTGTCCCTTTGTCTGTCCATTGTTGTTCGTTTCTATATATGTGTTAGCATTACACTGTTAGTCAGCTTGGTATTCTGAGTGCTGGTGTCGGGATGATCTCGAGCAGGATTTGCCGCTCGTAGGAAATGTCCTAGGGTTGAGCTGGAGCTCTGCCCACCTCATGTATGCCTGAGCTGGAAAGTCCGCTCATCACTCAATCTAGTTAAAATTAGATCTTAGTTTTCACTACCGCTAAACAAAGATCTGAGGACATCCCATTACTGGTCACGTCAGAACGACCTTTTGCGAAATTACGCTTCGAAACATATTTTGATGTATTCTCGATTAAAACTTTTAAAACTGATAAAAAGAACATTCTTGAATGGCTTATAGATGGCCTAGATTGTATTGATAGAACCATAAAACCCGTAACTGTCACTCGGAATACCCTCTGTTAAATATTTCGATGTTGCATGATTAGAAAACACATTCCGACTGTCAGTTTCAGGATCTGTTAAGCGAAGCTCTGATTGGTTGGATGAAAGGTTGTGCTGAGGTGACCCGTAATGGGATGTTCTTAGATCTTTGTTTAGTGGTAGCGAGAACTAAGATCTGATTTTAATGAGATTGGCTCATCACTGTGTTTGTGTTGTCAGAGCAGGTATTAGCTGAATGAACAACAAGGCAAGTAGCAATAGTAATTCAACTACCGCTGAACTGTGAAAACAACACCAGCCCTACATGATGAAATTTGAAATGGTGTATTAAGGCCTAGTTGTTTATTTGCTAAAGATGGTTTGTATATGTATAAAAAATGTAAGGTTTGGTGTCTCACTTTATTCTCACACACATCGAGCCAACATCTAAGCCATTATGCTTGCAATCACAGGGTAATACAAAAAACGTATGATTTTAACTAAATAAATATTACTTCTGGGCACGGATGGCCCAGTCGTTTAAGGCGCCGCAATTCGCTGTGCAGAGTTGCGTCCCTTGGGCACGCCAGAAACCTATGATTGTGGGTTCGAATCCCGGTTCTCCCCAATTATGTTTCTAGGTTTGTCAGCACCATACCCATGCTCATGGGTTTCACCGAGGTGGTAAACGTCCGAGACCTGCATCACTTCGGGCTTTCCTCCCACATTAAACTGACACGCCGTGATATAACTGGAATACTTTTAAAAGCAGCGTTAAACCCAACTCACTCACTCACTAAAAGAATCCACACATTTCCATCAGTATGTGCACGTAGGCACAGCAATATCACAAGCATAGGTACAATAAAGCTGTAGAAAGCCAGAAAATATACTTGTCACTATGATGTTTAGTGATATCACGTGACAAACATTACAACATGGTAAACGGTCTATGTGCATACGTGCACAGCACAACCCGGGTACATGTACAAGGTTACATAGCTAGATACAGTATGCATAATACGTAGGTCGGAAACGTCTCTGTAATGTCATATTACTGAACGCTACATAACCACTGACAGAGTTCAGATGAAATACAGGACTGAGGCACATTATAAACTGTCTATATTTATGAGCCGATATAATTTGAAATCACAAAAATGTCTCGCACGCGTGTAACGGCATGTTACAATGTTTCTCAAAATGACGTTATAGCACATGTAGTACGTAGTTGTCTGTGTCTTGCTAGGCCACAATCCTCACTGGGGGCTCCATTGAGACGGAGACTGCTTCATGACATGATGGACAGACACAAGTTTATTACTGGTATATTAAACCCTGAAACAATTGTAAAACATTCATTAGACAAAACATAGATATATGCTGACATAAAATATTTCATTGACAATATACAAAATGTTATAACTGCAAACAATAAACTTACATCTACACTTGATTAATCACTGAAGTGGTAATCGTCTGAGACCAGCATCACTTCAGGCTTTCCTTCCACATTAAGCTGACACGCTGTGATATAACTGGAATACTGTTAAAAGCGGCATTAAACCCAACTCACTCATTCCCTAGCCTAAGGTTATTCTAACAAGATTGCTATAATAACTGACATATAAATACAGTAGAACAAGGATGTAATGAACACGGATAGAGTGAACAAACAAATACAACGAACTGTTAAAAAAATAAAATTTATCTCTTACATTATATAATTGGTACGCAATCAGCGGCGAATCAACACAATCAGCGGTTACGGATAAACCTTGTTAAACTAAAATAAATGTTATGAAATGTTATCAATTGAATGCTATGAAGTGATCACTGCAACTTCAAGTCAATGCTGCAGTTACGTGTATTGTGATTTGTTTTCTCCAAGATGGCGGACGTATCCGAGCGAAAACTTGTATAACGAACAACGGATATAATTGAATTCTCTGGTCCCTTGTAGTTTGTTATGTCCATGTTCTATATACCGTATCCGACGTAATAAGCGCCCAGGGCGCTCTCAAAATTATAAATATGGGGCTCTAATTGAAATATTATTTTGGTGAAAAAAAAACAGAGTTGAAAGATAAATTTCGTGTTCATGTATGACAGATATATTTTTCCAGAATTTAATTGCCCATAATTAAGGTTGCATATAACACACAAGTGCGTATCATACGCAAATAAATAAGTCTTGTGAACATTGATCAATCGGAAGGGGTGCTAATTGGGATTGTTCACTGGCCAATATATTCGCAAATATCGCCGTGGGCGCTTTTTAGAGCGGGGCGCTTATTACGTCGAATACGGTATATATATAAAGTAATTTTGCTGCTGAACGAGACTACACACATGTGAATATAGCTGGTGTTGGGTTTTGTGAGGTCGCCATGCAGTCTCCCATCACCCCCAGGTGTAAGAAGTGTGGTTGATTTATGATCACGGGAGATCCTCATGTACACTGCACGAAGTGCAGAGGGAAGACCTGCACAGTGGAGAAGAGATGTGAGAAATGCACCCAGACATCAGCAGATATTCTCCAAGATGTCAGAGGCCATGACTAAGGCCAAGAGGTGAGAGGTGGCGAAGAAGAAAGTAGATAAGATCATCATTGAGAAATCAGTTTCTACTCCAGCGCCTCCCTCTCCAGCGACCCCATCATCTCCTCCCCTCATGAGATGATGGGGTTGCTCATCCAACAACTTCCGAGAGAACAGCAGGAGATGATGAAGGACATGCTTGATGCTGAGCTGTCTGATATGGACGCTAAGATCACGACGATAGCTCTGGCAAAGACTACCAGATCTTTGTCCACTGCCGTGGGCCAGCCTATACAAGATCTTCAAGCTGAGCTGCATGGCCAGGCAATGGGCCACGGCGTGGATCCTGGTTACCAACCCATAGACCAGTCGCCATGCTAGCTACTAAAGAAGCGAGCCATTCGGGAACTAAAGGAGTCCAACAACACCAAAGGTTTTTACTCCCCAGTCCTTTTAGAAGAACACAAATGAGATGAGGATGATAAGAGATCTAAAGATCCTGAACAAAAGATATCTGGTACCGCCTCCAAAATTCAAGATGGAATCCATACAGAAGTTGCAGTCGACGTTGAAGAAGGGAGACTGGCTTATCAGCCTAGATCTTACAGATGCATATCTTCACGCCCCATTACACCAATCATCTCGGAAATATCTACACTTCTCAATCTATGAATTCTAAGTCCTACGATTCGGAATAGCAATAGCACCTTGGCTATTCACCAGAATTACAGCGCCAGTCATCAAGTTCATCCATATCTAGCTAGTTCAAATCCATGGTTATCTGGACGACTTCTTAGCGGCAGACCATGGGAAAAATCAGCTACAGAAGAACATGATATTCTTGGTCCAACTTATGACTTCCTAGTCAACCCAGACATAAAATACATCGGAGCAAGATTCCAGCTAGACAGGGGATATATATGTCCACCAGAGGATCGATTCGACAAGACTATAAAGATGATCCAATAACTCTCAAGTCAACCCAGCAAGTTGCTGAGGTGGTGGATGTCTACAAGGCAACTTGACATCTCTACAGGATATGACCTTCAGAGGAAGGCTGAGGCTACGTCCTCTACAGACATGGGTAAACTCTATACGTTTGAAGGGCCAAGAGTTCCAGCGCAGTAAGGGGCACTTGGGCAGGCTATTGTGTGATAGTGCACTAGGTGATTGAGCCTGTGGCAGATTACTCATGGTGTGAGCTGAAACAGAGAATTAGGAAAGCTGAAGTGTGAAGAATATAATATTTAAAACATACTTGACTGAATATTTAATTCAGTAAAAAGCTAAACAAATAAAACTCCAAAAATATTCAACTATCTGATCCTGTCACACTGGTACTAAATAATTGTACTTGCAGGTTTTTGTACAGTATATTTCTATTTTCAGGGGGGCGGGTAGCCTAGTGGTTTCGACCATTTCGCTGAAGACCCAGGTTCAAGTCCTGACATGGGTATTATGTGTGAAGCCCATTTCTGGTGTCCCCCGCCGTGATATTGCTTTAATATTGCTTAAAGCGGCGTAAAACCATACTCACTTACTCACTCATTCTATTTTCAGGACCAGGATGGCCAAACTCCACTGCATTATGGTAAGTGTTTTAAGTTACATGTATTGTTTGTGTTGATGGATAGTTGGAGAACCAAGTATCTACAGCCTGCATGCACGACTTTTCTCCAGGGGTAAATATACCCCCATAGGGTTACAGGGTGAAAATATTTTGCGTTTACATAGAGTATTTCTTTTTAGTAGTCCATTAAATTGTATCAGTCTTTATCTAGAATTCTACCAGGACATTGTAGAATGCTTAATTCTGAGGTTTCCTTTTTGCTACAGAAACCCCTTTTAAATATATTAAGCCTTTTCACACAAACAACAGCTCTCGCGAAATTGATAGACAGCCAATAGCATCTAATAGAGGAAATAGTTTGATATCGGATGTTTTTGACAACAGTATGATGTTCTAGGCCGTAATCCTGACTGTTTTGATGATGAGACGACAAGACTTCACGAAGGCATAACTTTTGCATACAAATGAAATGTTTACGAAACTGTTTGATGACGAACAGACTCGGAACACGCAATTTCGTCATTGCAACCACCGACTATGAAATTTAAATATAACATTATGAAAATTGTGTTTGGAGACACTTTATTCGTGAAAAAATCTTGTTTACAAACCTTTTTGTGATCGATAGTGTTTGTCATATCCGTCAACAACCATCGTAAAGATTTGGCAGGAGGGGATTTGAAAGTCCATTAGAAAACACTCGTCCCTTCTATAGGCCACGAAGACAATTTCCTAACATTACTGAAATCACAGCTTGTCAAGCCTGATGAAATGCATTTCAGGACACGCACAATTATGAAAATCATACACAAACAACTATTTCTGAGTCACAAATGTCTCATTGCGTTCAAGCTCAGGCTTTGAATCCAGGAAATCTTGAAATTGACAGGTCAAATCATGCAGATTCCTTAAACGTGTCTAAGTATCTGGCTTGTCTGCAGCCTAAAAAAGCAGCTGTTCAGTCAAACTCAGTTCCATTGGCAATTGCATTGTACCAGCAGGCTCATTCCCAGTAAATCTACAGGTTAATGTTGAACCACATCATAGATCGGGGTTGTCAGCAATTGACAGTTGTGAGGTGTGAGTAACCGTGATGTAGGTCAAGTTCCGCAACATCCAAGTTGGGGATGGAGAGGTATTTATTTTGATTTTTCAAATTATTTACTGGGGTAATTGCTAACTACCTCATAAAACTTACTCATGTAAAATAAATAGTAGAATGTTAATTCATAAAGTTTGTTTGAGAAATATATTCGTTTAGCATTTTTAAAATTGTTTCTACAACCTGTACAATGGAAATGGCATACTCGATTTCCAAGGAATGGCTTCTCTCGTTGATTTTCAAGAATTGATGTGCCGGGTCCAAATAGTGCAGAGCAGGTTGTGATGAAATTAAAACATCTATCTTCGGACTAAGTTTGGAGGGTTATTTGTCAACTTCTTTTTGAAAAACTATGTGTTTTGAACACTTATTTTGAACTTCTAAAGACTATGGGTATTTTAATGTGGAACTTCATTCTCACTTGTTACACATATTACTACCTGCGGTCACTTTTTGGAATGTTCTAAGATTGTGGACCTTTGTACCTTGTGTTGTGACGCGTTGCAAGAGAGCGCCATTTTTCAAAGCGTTATTGCCGTCATTGTAGAATGGAGATAATTTGATGTAGTCCCACTGTAGGGTAGATACCTCTTATTGTCCCCCGCCGCGCGAAAGCGCGAAGCGGGGGATATAGTATTCACGACCGTCCGTACGTCCCACCTGTTTGTTGCCGCGATATCTCAAGAACTATACACTGGATTGTCTTCATATTTGGAACTATGGTATATAAACAGACTCCGCAGACACCAGTCCGTTTTGGTGACCTTGACCCCATTTTCAAGGTCACAGCAGGCATATCTGCTTTTGGAGTTGGAAAACGGTGTTGCCGCGATATCTCAAGAACTAATCTCTGGATTGTCTTCCTATTTGGTACTAGGGTGTATATACGGACTCCGCAGACACCAGTCGGTTTTGGTGACCTTGACCCCATTTTCAAGGTCACAGCAGGTAAATCTGCTTTTGGAGTTGGCAAACGGTGTTGCCGCGATATCTCAAGAACTAATCGCAGGATTGTCTTCATGTTTGGAACTATGGTGTATATACAGACACCGCAGACACCAGTCGGTTTTGGTGACCTTGACCCCATTTTCAAGGTCACAGCAGGCAAATCTGCTTTTGGAGTTTGAAAACAGAGTTGCCGCGATATCTCAAGAACTAAACACTGGATTGTTTTCATATTTGGAACTATGGTGTATATAGAGACTCCGCAGACACCAGTCGGTTTTGGTGACCTTGACCCCATTTTCAAGGTCACAGCAGGTAAATCTGCTTTTGGAGTTGGAAAACGGTGTTGCCACGATATCTCAAGAACTAATTAATCGCTGGATTGTCTTCATATTTGGTATTTTGGTGTATATACAGGCGGGGGACATTTCGTCACTTCTGTGACAAATACTTGTTTTAATTTGGATCCCCGAGCGCTTCTGTGGGTTTATCTCCTAAATGGTCGACTATAGACATCATAGTTGATTGCGCTGTAGACAGAGATTTATTCAAACATTTTTGTGCAGAATAACTTCCTCCTTCCTCCAAGATTGCAGAATATGGGTGAAAGACAGAATTAAGCAGAAAATGGTGGGACATTATGGTTCTTCAACATTTTGATGATATACGTGAGCTAGACAGCAGGAAGGACTATTTGGGTACTTGGCAGCAGGAAGGATGATATATGTGTATTAGACAGCAGGAAAGATGATATATGTGTATTAGACAGCAGGAAGGATGATATATGTGTACTAAACAGCAGGAAGAACTGTGTTGGTACTTGGCTGCAGGAAGGATGATATATGTGTACTAAACAGCAGGAAGGATGATATATGTGTACTAGACAGCAGGGAGGACTGTGTGTGTACTTGACTGCAGGAAGGATGATATATGTGTACTAGACATCAGGAAGGACTGTGTGTGTACTAGACAGCAGGAAGGACTGTGTGGGTACTTGGCTGCAGGAAGGATGATATATGTGTACTAAACAGCAGGAAGGATGATATATGTGTACTAGACAGCAGGGAGGACTGTGTGTGTACTTGACTGCAGGAAGGATGATATATGTGTACTAGACAGCAGGAAGGACTGTGTGTGTACTAGACAGCAGGAAGGACTGGGTGGGTACTTGGCAGCAGGAAGGATGATATATGTGTACTAGACAGCAGGAAGGACTGTGTGGGAACTTGACAGCAGGAAGGACTGTGTGGGTACTAGACAGCAGGAAGGACTGCGTGTGTACTAGACAGCAGGAAGGACTGCGTGTGTACTAGACAGCAGGAAGGACTGTGTGTGTTCTAGACAGCAGGAAGGACTGTGTGTGTACTTGACAGCAGGAAGGACTGTGTGTGTACTAGACAGCAGGAAGGACTGTGTGTGTACTAGACAGCAGGAAGGACTGTGTGTGTACTAGACAGCAGGAAGGACTGTGTGTACTAGACAGCAGGAAGGACTGTGTGTGTACTTGAGAGCAGGAAGGACTGTGTGTGTACTTGACAGCAGGAAGGACTTGTGGGTACTAGACAGCAGGAAGGATTATATATGTGTACTATAGAGAGCAGGAAGGACTGTGTGTGTACTAGACAGCAGGAAGGACTGTGTGGGTACTTGGCAGCAGGAAGGATGATATATGCGTATAAGACAGCAGGAAGGATGATATATGTGAGCTAGACAGCAGGAAGGACTTTGTGGGAACTTGACAGCAGGAACGACTGTGTGTGTACTTGACTGCAGGAAGGATGATATATGTGTACTAAACAGCAGGAAGGACTGTGTGGGTACTTGACTGCAGGAAGGATGATATATGTGTACTAAACAGCAGTAAGGACTGTGTGGGTACTTGGCTGCAGGAAGGATGATATATATATGTGTACTAGACAGCAGGAAGGACAGTGTGTGTACTAGACAGCAGGAAGGACTGTGTGGGTACTTGGCTGCAGGAAGGACTGTGTGTGTACTAGACAGCAGGAAGGACTGTGGGTACTTGGCTGCAGGAAGGATGATATATGTGTACTAGACAGCAGGAAGGATGATATATGTGTACTAGACAGCAGGGAGGACTGTGTGGGTACTTGACTGCAGGAAGGATGATATATGTGTACTAGACAGCAGGAAGGACTGTATGTGTACTTGACAGCAGGAAGGATGATATATGTGTACTAGAAAGCAGGAAGGATGATATATGTGTACTAGACAGCAGGAAGGACTGTGTGGATACTTGACAGCAGGAAGGACTGTATGTGTACTAAGCAGCAGGAAGGATGATATATGTGTACTAGACAGCAGGAAGGACTGTGTGGGTACTTGGCAGCAGGAAGGATGATATATGTGTACTAGACAGCAGGAAGGACTGTGTTGGTACTTGACTGCAGGAAGGATGATATATGTGTACTAGACAGCAGGAAGGACTGTATGTGTACTTGACAGCAGGAAGGATGATATATGTGTACTAGAAAGCAGGAAGGATGATATATGTGTACTAGACAGCAGGAAGGACTGTGTGGGTACTTGGCAGCAGGAAGGATGATATATGTGTACTAGACAGCAGGAAGGACTGTGTGGGTACTTGACAGCAGGGAGGACTATATATGTGTACTAGACAGCAGGAAGGACTGTGTGTGTACTTGACAGCAGGAAGGATGATATATGTGTATTAGACAGCAGGAAGGGTGATATATGTGTACTAGACAGCAGGAAGGACTGTATGTGTACTTGACAGCAGGAAGGATGATATATGTGTACTAGAAAGCAGGGAGGATGATATATGTGTACTAGACAGCAGGAAGGACTGTGTGGGTACTTGGCAGCAGGAAGGATGATATATGTGTACTAGACAGCAAGAAGGACTGTGTGGGTACTTGACTGCAGGAAGGATGATATATGTGTACTAGACAGCTGGAAGGACTGTATGTGTACTTGACAGCAGGAAGGACTG